CAAGTACGCCGATGTATTCTCATCAAATGATGCTGACATAGGAAAGACTGGCCTAGTTCAACACAAAATAAACACAGGAGAGGAATTGCCTATCCGTCAGCGGCCAAGAAGATTGCCGGTAGCACGTGAAAAGGAAGTGGAAACCATGATTGAAGGAATGGTGAAGGATGGTGTTATTGAACCTTCCTCTAGTCCATGGTGTTCACCAGTGGTGCTGGTGAAGAAGAAGGATGGCAGCATGCGGTTTTGTGTTGACTACCGCCGTCTGAACGACGTTACGAAGAAGGACAGCTATCCCTTGCCAAGAATTGATGACACGCTGGGCATGCTTACAGGAGTAAAGTGGTTTAGCACGCTGGATCTAAAAAGTGGCTACTGGCAAGTTGAAATTGACCCTAAGGACAAGGAGAAAACTGCGTTCTCGACGGGAAAGGGTCTGTGGCAATTCAAAGTAATGCCGTTTGGGTTGTGCAATGCTCCAGCAACGTTTGAAAGGCTGATGGAACTTGTACTTACCGGGCTAATTGGCGATGCCTGTCTGGTCTACTTGGATGACATCATCATCGTGGGCCGTACGTTTGAGGAACACCTTCAAAACCTGGAACGCGTGCTCATGAATATTCAGAGTGCCAACCTCAAGTTGAGCCCGAAGAAATGTTCACTATTTCAACGGCAAGTTAACTTTTTGGGGTTTGTAGTATCGGAAGAAGGTATCCGCACAGATCCAGAGAAAATCGCCCCTGTCAAGGATTGGCCGGTTCCAAAAGACAAGACGCAGGTTAGAGCATTTTTGGGTTTGTGCTCCTATTACCAGCGATTCGTGAAGAACTTTGCAGATATAGCCAAACCTCTGCACAAGCTAACCGAGGAGAAGCGACATTTCTGCTGGGATGAAAGTTGCAATATCGCATTCCAGGAGCTCAAGGACCGTCTGTGCAAAACACCTATTTTGGGATACCCTGATGCAAGCAAAGAATTTATAGTTGACACAGACGCAAGTGATATAGGACTCGGCGGTGTGTTGTCTCAACGGAATGGTGACCAAGAGGTCGTGATAGCGTACTTCAGCAAGTCGTTGTCAAAACCGGAAAGGAACTACTGTGTCACAAGACGCGAATTGCTAGCTGTGGTAAAGTCGTTGCAACATTTTAGCAAATATCTTCTGGGACGAAAATTTCACTTACGAACTGACCATGCTGCACTAAAATGGCTATTGCAGTTTAAAAACCCAGAAGGACAAGTTGCGAGGTGGATTGAACTACTGCAGGAATACGACTTTGAGATCGAACATCGCAGCGGGAAATCTCATGGCAACGCAGATGCATTGTCAAGAAGACCTTGTCCTGAAGATTGCAAACATTGTACTAGGCAAGAGAGTAAGGAAGTGGTATCCGTGAGGATGCTCAGGGCAGACCACCTCAGCAACGAGTGGAAGGACAGCTTACTACATGCACAGCAGGAAGATCCGGACATCAAGCCGATTCTGGAATGGATAAAGGCCAGTGCTCCCAAGCCCAAGTGGAGTGACGTCTCAGCGATGAGTTCGACCACTAAAAGCTATTGGGCCCAGTGGGACAGCTTGCTGCTTCAGGACGGAGTTCTGTGTCGTAAATGGGAAAACGTTCGGGGAGACAGCTGTCATTTGCAAATGGTTGTCCCTAAAGTTAAAATACCGGATGTTCTACAGCTGTACCATAATGATTGTTCAGGAGGCCATCTGGGAGTTAAACGAACTCTACTGAAGATCCGAGAACGATTTTACTGGGTCCACTGTCGAAACGATGTCGAGGACTGGTGTCGCAAATGTACAAGTTGTGCGGCTGTAAAGGGACCTCAGACTCGTAGTAGAGGTGCATTGAAGTTGTACAATGTTGGTGCACCATGGGAGAGAATAGCCATTGACGTGGCGGGGCCGTTTCCGGAGAGTGAAAGCGGTAACAAGTATTTCATGGTTGTGATGGATTACTTCACTAAGTGGCCAGAAGTCTTCGCCATTCCAAATCAAGAAGCTTCAACAGTTGCAGATAAACTAGTTCATGAAGTCTTCTGTCGTTTTGGAGTACCTTTAGAGATTCACAGCGATTGGATTGAAGGAAGGAATTTTGAGTCTCAAATATTCCAGGAAACTTGCCGAGTTATGGGTACTCATAAACAAGAACGACTTTACCCAGGAAAAGGGGGATAATCAGAAGAGAAAAAAAAGTAACAATCGGCAACGAGATTGGGACAAGCACATACAACCGTTTTGTTGTCATATCGAAGTTCTGTTCACGAAAGTACAGCAGTGACACCAGCTTTCGCAAACTTTGGAAGAGAATTACGGCTGCCTGCAGACCTGATCACCGGGATACCACCCGATGCTCCACGCAGTATAACCGATTATGCAAATGACTTGCGGAGGATTATGAAGATGTCTAGTATGTAGGAGCTACCGGAGATAAATACCCGCGGTTGTACATATATATGGGGTGGTCGGGAGCCCAAATGCTTGAAGTACTGTAGCACAATGACTAGTCCTACATTAGGGACTTATGATAATAAACTCAATGGTACAAAAGCAATACTATAGAAGGTCTCTATGATGAATTTTCATTATAATAGTAGGGTTGTGGGTTGAATTCCTATATATTAATGACTTATGAAAGTAAGGTCTATGATACAAAAGCAATATTATAGAGGATCTCCTTGATGCATAAGCATTATATGGGGTGGTCGGGTGATCGACTGCTCTTAGTACTGTTGCAAAATTACTAGTCCTTATCAGGGACTTGAAAACGAATATTATGGTGGCGTGTATGCTGCTTCACGAGCAATTGGTCCGAGGTAAACTAGGACTAACCGATGTGTCCTAGACATATCATCTTAGTGCTGGTGGTAAGCTGGTTTGTTGTAGCAATACGGCTTTCTCGTGGACACCGCACACCCATACCGTTTGTGGGCGACGTCGTAGCGCACGTCTATCTTTCGGATTGGGATGAGTGTGTTTGGTAGCATTTTAAGTATAACCAGCATACTGAACTTCATGTCTTAGTGCTAATGCGCTATGATACGTGGAGTTTTGTCCACTGGCGTCTTAGTAGCGTACTACTATGATACGTTGGTGCAGGTTTTAGTTAAAAACCTATTAGTGCCGGTGGTAAGCGGGTTTGTTGTAGCAATACGGCTTTCCCGTGAACATCGCATACCCATACCGTTTTAGGGCAGCGTCTTAGCGCATAACCATGCGTCGTCTATCTTTCGTATTGGGATGATTGTGTTTGGCAGCACTTTTAAGTGTAACAGGCATACTCAACTTCATGTCTTAGTGCATTAGCGCTATGATACGTGGAGTTTTGTTCACTGGCGTATTAGTAGCGTGCTACTATGATACGTTGGTGATATTTTAGTTAACAACCATACAAACTTTGTTACCAAAGTCGTTAGGGATCATGTGGGTGTGTTGTGAGGGGGGCGCCATCCGTATGATAGTTGCATTGATGCTTACTGCTCTTTGCGGTATTGCGTCTTGTGATGGATCTGCGGGTGTACTGCGCCTGATTCGACGCATTCGTGTGGTTCTGTTCGATGGAGGTATACAATTAACAACATCTTAGTGCTGGTGGTAAGCGGGTTTGTTGTAGCAATACGGCTTTCCCGTGGAAATCACACACCCATACCGTTTGTGGACGGCGTCGTAGCACATAACGATGCGTCGTCTATCTTTCGGATTAGGATGAGTGTGTTTGGCAGCACTTTTAAGTGTAAACGGGTCCCTTCATTGCGGGGCTGCAGACTGTCTGCTCTCCATGATATTTTATATTACGACATAATAATATATCTCTGTAACTTTTCCACCTTTGATGATTGAAGGCAACTTGTTGGTGGGTGAGACAAACATGATCGAAAATGCATTTACTCAACGTCAGTAACACAATACCTTTCTGATGGCATTTATTACTAACTGCCTTTTGGCTATATCTGCCGTTGTATTGGTTGGTAGAGTATATGTGTCGACCTAATGCGGGTGGTAGCTGGCGGGATGATCTGAGAAGACTCTGAAGGCTGCAGCCGAAAGCCGCACAACGTGGGACCCCATTCCTTTGAGGTGAGCGGTAGATTCATTACACGCTCTGCGGCTAGTAGCCGTGCTGATCATGCAATTGGTGGTGATGCCATACACTTACATCATGTCTGCAGGAGCGGTGGTCTGGCAGGATTACGGCCAGTGTGTCTATTTGCCTAAACTGTGTGACGTACATTCACTGTGGCTAGATTCGTTCGTATTCTGTATGGCTTTTACACGCATTGACATGCGCGACTTCGGTCGATGTTTGTACTTACGCACTAACAAGGGGCCAAGCCTCTTTTACTGGTTCACCAGTTATTTTGCTGTGGACTACGGTCCAGTTCCCGAAGGAGCGTTCTCTTTGGGGGGAGTGCATCAAAATATTTGACACTCACCGCACACGGCGTGTGTGGGGCCATGTGCCTCCCCTACTTTTCTTTAAATAAATGTAGGAGGGCGAAGCCCCTTGTATCGGGTATTTAGTATAAATATATTGTGAGCCTTTTCCAAGCGGGAAGGGATAATAAAAAAAATACATACAAGGAAATGATAAACATATTTATATATATATATATATATATATATATATATATATATATATATATATATATATTTAAAATACTGACATAAAAATAAAACATAAATAAATTAAAGCCTTACCAGATGGAAGCCCTCAGCAGAGAAGGCATAACGGCCGAGGTTTAGGGGAATAGAAAAGAAACCGGTGGACGATGCTGGTTAATGGAGTAGAATAATATGAATTTGTTACCGAATAACTCAACATAATAAAATTTTTATTCATACTAATTATTTAAAGAAGTAAAATTTAGACGATATTTTGGCATCTCAGAACTATTGCAAAAGGGAGTTTTTTAATTACTATCTAAAATTAACTTTATGACTACGTATTATATATATATATATATAAATATAATTGAGTTGAATAGAAACTCACCTATAAACCGGCACGTCATCTTTGTACCAAACGACTAACAGCAAAGCGTCTGGAGGTTGCGGTGAGTGGGTATCACAAGGAAGTGTCGCATCTCCACCTGATACTGCTGACAAACTGACGGCGTCTAAAGACTCTGCTCTTGCGCTCCATGAACTTTGCCGGAGACCTTTGAAAGAAATCACCGATATAATGTGGGAATTGATACAATTTTTTTAAGTTTAATATACAATCTTATTTAACTTATTCATTCATTACAACCTATTCTAGTCCATTGCTGAACATAACATATCATAAAATTGCCAGGTTTGGCAGGCCGATTGGCAACCACAGATATTTATTATTTTGAGTTGTTATAAGAAAGATGTTACCATCCATCTCCTGTTTCATTTCTCTATGTCGCCTTTTACGACGCTCGCATCTTAAAATATAACATAACAACTTACTTACGTGGTAGAGCCATGCTGCAGCTATATTAATTGTATAGTTGTAGCACGAATGGGTCGGCTCGACCGGGGAAGGACCACGCTCTCACAGAATACCAGCGTCAAATAGCAGCTTAATGCTGCTGTGTTTCGTATGGTGAGTGTAGAGATCCGGAGACCCTTTTTACTAGAAAAGAGGCATTCTATCTTAGTCCTCAAGACTGACAACGCATCTTCATTTTGATTCGCAAACGAGGATAGATGTAGATGTCTATGGGCCACAGCAACCACTTACCATCAGGTGGACTGTGTGCTCGCTTGTCATCCTTTTCCTATAAAAAAAAAAAAACAATTATGTGAGTGGTCTGAAAAGATTCCATACATTCCATTTTTATTCTTCTTTATAGTCTTCTTGCTACTCTACACACTTCTCCCAGCGATGCTCCCATCTCTCTAACTTTAATTAATAATAAAAATAAAATGATTGTACACGTAAGTGATTGCCTCCTCGTTTGACGAAAATCTCTGTCCACCGAGCCTAAGTTTTAGATGAGGAACAAAAAGAAGTCGCTCTGGGGCTAGATCTAGTGAGTAAGGTGGATGATCAAGCATTTCAAACTGTAATTGGCGCATTTTTGCCATGGCAACCGCTGAGGTGTGTGATGACGCGTTGTCATGGTGAAACTGGATTTTCTTTTTTTTACAATTGGTTGCGCAGAAAACCATTCGTATTTATTTATTTGACGGTAGGCTTGCCAAATCGTTTATCCTTTTCCAAACGATATCATTCATACCCTCCTATCAACACAACACACACAACACAACAACAGGAAAGAAGATGATTCTAGAATATTACGCAATCATCGCAACCGAAGGAATAAAAAGGCACGCGCGGCCGACGCGCCCTCTTACCGCCGCGCTCGTCGTTGGAACCACACCGCCTCTCTCCCGACGTATCTCTGGGGCCCCAGAGAGTCTACCCAGAGTGTCTTCCAGAAGTCGCAGCAATATAATGCCCAAGCCGCATAGAAGCAACACCCCGGTGAGTGAACATTCCTAATACTTCCTGCTTGATATAATTGTGTTTAATAGTTAATCCGCTCCAATTTTATTTTCTCCTAACCAAGCGGGATTCCTTTCATAGATTTGGCAAATAATAGTTCGTTTTATGGAAGAGCGAAAGCATTGTATGGGAAACCGCGTGCTATAGTCGCCATTTTATGTAAACGTAGAAGCATTTCGCATTTACAGTCCACTTTGGTTAATATCTCGCGTAATAGGTTTTAAGGCTCGACCGGGGAATTGGACTTCGGTAGCCTTAGGCTCGTCGCTCCACCATTTTATGGTCCTTCGAACAGGATTTGGACTGGTGTTTAGTAGTCGTTCAACCATTTTCTGTTCGAATTATTAGATTAATTACTTAGACAATGCACTCTAATTTACGGAATAGACTTAAATAGTGTTCGTTTAGAATTTAAATTTTGGTTAGTTACTCGCAAATAGAATTATTCATTTAAATAGTGTTTGTATTTGGTTTAAATTTAAAGCTTATTAGTCGCTTAATTAATTGAAACAGTGTAATCGCAACCGTTGTGTACGCTTACCCGACAGTTTGATAAAAATATATTGAGTTTAGCGAGCGACGCGCGTCACCTCGGCTCGCTGTAACAGGTGTTCAATTTAATGACGTAATACGGCACGAGTGTCCATCCTCCAGAGTTGTGCGATTAATTGTGATTATTATAATTTATTATAATAATTTAAAATGGCAGTTAGTGGAAATGAAATTAAAATTAAAACGCTTTATGCCAAGAGGGACACACTTTTTTCACGTATACAAAGTATTAGTGATCACATAAAGAACATTAATGTAGATGCAGTGCGGGAAACTTTTTTGAATGAAATTGAAATGGATTCTTTGCAGACAGATTACGAAAGAATATTAGACCAAATTAATCATTTGGAATTACAAATCGACCCGAAATATATAGTGAACTACCAACAGCTTCTGGCATTTGAAGATATGTTGTGTCGCGTGAAAAGAACGGCGAAACTCTTACAGTCTCCAGCACAAAACGAAGATAAGCCGGAAACATAGGTACGCCCACGTGACTCAAATAGGTTGCCGCCAATAGATATTCCGGTATTTAATGGGGATATTAAGACATGGCCCTTCTTCTCAGTAGTTTTCAAAACAATATACATAATAACCCATCGTTATCGGACGCTGAAAAATTATACTATTTAATTAGTAAACTTAGTGGCAGGGCACAGTCAATTTGCTCGGGTTTTACACCTACAGCAAACAATTACTTGTTAATATTCGAAACGCTTAAAACTAAATATGAAGATAGGATAATGTTAGCTTCCGAATATTTGAACCAGATATTCGATCTTAAACCTATATCATACGCGAACATCAACGGCTTAGAGCAGTTTTTAGATAAATTTGTGGCATCGGTGGCTGCACTTAAGAATTTGAAATTTATAATATTCAGTCATAAGATCGACCAACCGGGACGACAACAGCACCCCCACTCCCTGGCAGGCGTTCTCGCTTTCCGGGACTCCGGACCATATAGCTAACGTCCCGCCAGGGAGCTCTTCAGTACCACTGCCTTTCCGTTTGGTCTCCGACATACACACGACATCTAATTCTCTTTCTTTCATTATTTCGATCAACTCATTCGTCTTATCTCTCATGCCCCCTCTAACATTCCACGTGCCAACTCTGCGCTCCGTCCTCCATCTTCCGCCCTGTCGGGCTGTGCGTGACGGGTGGCAGTATTTCTAATATCTATAATATTTTATTATGTGCTGTGTAGTTCTTAATTTTCGAAGAGAACTTGTCAATTAAACAATTTTATCGAAAGTGATGAAAAATATATCTTACGTTTCTTAGAAGCTGTCCACGTAACGGTATATTTAATTAAAAATATGAGATTGCTATTCTACCGTATTTAGATGTCATAATTTTTCTTAATTAGGTTTTAACGTTTTCAAATTGACCAGGCAAAATGAGAGACATATTTTTTTTAAATGTTACCCACCTACACAGTGGGGTTTCATCCGTGTTGTAGAGACGTTTTACATTCATACATTTCACAAAGTGCAATATCCAGACTCGGAACACTTATTTGTAGGCCATAGAAAACCCTCTGTGACGCAGCCTTTACTAAGTGGTACTTGTATGTATCATCTTCTTACCTATTTCTGCCGCCAACAATTAAAGCTTATTGTACATCCCTCTACACGAGCATCCTCTGGTTGAATTAATCCCAACGGCAGTGAAACGCCCTGCGCGTGCAAAACAATAATTCATTTCGGGTTATAATGGGGCTGCCTCGGTTCTGCAGCGCATCAGGGATGTTCGCTGAAGCGCGAGTGGATTGCTTCTACACGATCATACGTAAACGGCGTACATCCCTGCTACGTAGGATTTGGGCCAGCTCTAACCGCATCCTAGTGATGTTCTCGAATACTGTCAGTACCTGAACCATTGTTGTACGGTTTTTGTACTGTAAAGCAAAGTAAAGTTACAGCCTATATACGTCCCTTTGCTGGGCACAGGCCTCCCCTCATTTCTGAGAGCATTTTACAGCAAGGTAGTATCCGCCGCGCTGCCCCTATGAGTGTTGGCGAACTTCACATGTCTTCGAAATATTTTTTTTCTTATTCCTCAGACATGCAGGTTTCCTCACGATGTTTTCCTTCACCGCCGAGCACGTGGTAAATCAGCACTTAAAATTGCAATTAACAATTTCGTTGGTGCCGGCGGGGATTTCGTTGGGGGGGGGGAGTTTCAAATAATTAATTCTAACAATTGTTGATTTCTGGGCTTATTTATTTTTATTCAACTTTTATTTTATTTTATTTTATTTAATATAAATTCTTTATTGTTATAATTAATTAATATAATTGGATATGTTATTACATAATTATGTAATAACGTAGCCAATTATATATATATATATATTTATTTTTTATATATTTTATTTTTTACTATTATATGATGGCCATAATAATGCCCTCAAGACCAAATTTTTCTCATAGCCGCCAGTCTCAGCGAATAATAGCCACCTGTGCAGGGCAGGATTATAGTGCCCGAGTGTATAAATAACCACATATAGGTGCACTCTCTATTCCCTCATTTTCATAGTCCGATGGGTGGATAAACTGCTTTATGTGCTTTCCAAGCACGGGGGAGAAACACAGCCAACTTCCTGACTTCAGGCTGCTACTGAGTATTTCTTGACAGAAAAACTCTATAACTGATTTAGATCCGTCCCGGGATTCGAATCTGGAACCCCATGATTAGCAACTGCATTTACTATATTCCAATAATGACGTAGTTCATTATTGTTATCATTATCATCATCATGCGTTATAATAATTCTATAATATAATAATAATAATAATATATACAATATAGGCGTAGGGAAGTGATGACCCCATCGCCCGCTGACGTAACAATTAAGTGACAAAACTGCTACGTCGGTGCAGTCAGCCAGTGCCTTGCCAAAAGGTGTGAGCGCCGTGCTTTGGCAGTACTGAAGGTGAAAAGGCCCTTTTGTGCTAACGGCCATACAATGATACAATGAAACGGTGCCAGGACTGGGCGTCTCCCGTTAATTGGCGTCCAAAAATAGATGATAGATTTTAATTGAAAACGTATAGGGCTGACAGGGCGCGTCTGGATCTGGCACTGGATGCGGCAGCATGCGGACCGCATGCCGAGCGCGAGGAGCTGCAAGATCATCGGCAGGATCCTCTAGGACTCGGCAAGCGGCATCCGCTCCTGGTGGAGTACGCTGCATGCGTTGGACAAAATATAAACGCAAATGCATTGCGGGCATACTATAGGGCGAAAGGGGAAGAAACTGCAGGGATAGCGTATCGTGCTCGGATGCATTGTTTTTTTGTTGAGCTGGAGCCGTCTATTCCCGTCATGGAACAACCTGGCAGACCAAGATCGGTACATCATGCGCTCGAAAATATTTGATGATGCCGAGCTCGAGCGACTACGACGTGAGGCCATTCCCTCATCGAATGAAAAGGCTATGGCTGGGGACGCGGCTCCTCAGGTGACAAACCAGCATCTAGGCGTGGAAGCCGCCATGTATCTTTCTATTGTGGTTGATTCGGACGATGATGAAATGATTTCCCACGAACTAGAGGAAATGAGGAACATATTGGAAGAGGCGATTTTGGAAATGCGCAGCATGTCTCTCGAAAATCGTCCATGACCTCCCCGCATAGCCCTAAGCAAGTGAAATCGGGCTGTCGTGAGGGCTCTTAACTTAATGCTAGTGACCTATTTGGAAGCCAGCCGGGACCTTTGCGAGACGTACTCAATTATTTTTGGCGCCACAGTGACAGTTTGCCGTATTATTGGCGTCAAACTTCCCATGGTTGGACGCGCTACTAAATCAAATACAGCCATACCAGCCTGAAGAAAAAGAATTGAGGCCGATAAGGTAGACTGACAAGCTTCAGGTCGGGTAATAATAGACCGAGGGTTGTGCGCACCGTTAGAATGTCGTTTGCTGGGGCAAATATCAGTTTATCCCAGCAGGATATCACGCAGAAACTAACGAAGCGCATAGACGACCTGAAGCAAAAAATCGCTGCTTGGCGGAAGCGGATTCGAAGATTTACCAAGAGGTCAAGGTGGGTAAACTAGAATCGTCGCTTCCAGAGGGATAAGAAGAGGCTCTATAAATCATTGGAGCGACCAAGGTTATGGGAAGTGGGCCCAGGACCGGATCAGGCCGACATTGTCGCATTCTGGAGTGGCCTGTGATCAGAGTCTGTAAACTACAGCGAGGGCCCTTGGATAAAAGTTGTGGCGAGCCACGGTGCGAGAGTCATGAATATAAACCCCGTCATCAAAACGCCGGAAGACGGGGCTGAGGCAGTCCATGGGACCCCGAATTGGAAAAGTCCGGGGCTCATCAGTGTGCTTCGTAGTGTGTCACACTGTGCTCTCCCGACAGTTTCAAAAGCCTCTCGACCAAAAGTCGCTCCCGAGTTTTTTCACTACCTGAGATCACTCACTTGGTTCCTAAAAACCAGGATACCACAGACCCGAGCAAATACCGCCCCATCACGTATCTATCCACCATATATAATATACTGACATCCATTTTGAGCGCGAGAATCACTCGTCACCAGGAGTTAAATCAGGTGACGTCAAGCGCTCAAAATGGATGTCGTGGCGGTGGTCGTGGAATCAAGGAACCACTCCTAATTGACGCGGGCAAAGTAATGAAACGCAACCATCGGAACTTCTCCACCGCCTGGATAGACTACAGAAAGCCATTCGACTCGGTGCCCCTACAAGGCTAAAGAGGGTACTCGAGCTGAACAAAATTGACTGTACAGTAAGAAATTTCCTCGGGCAGTGTATGGGACAATGGAATACGATCTTTTGTCATCTTGGCGAGCGGATGATGGTTGCGGAAAGCCGCATAAATATAAGAAGGTGTATCTTCCGAGGCAACTGTCTGAGTCCAATATGGTTCTGCTTCTCATTGATTTCTCTCAGTACTTTACTGAAAGGCTCCGGGAGGGGATTTCAGCTTCGGAAGGGAGGTAAAAAGTGACCAACATTTACTATATGGATGACCTAAAATTATTCGCCTCAAGTCGCTCCCATCATTACATAATAATTGCTAAACATCACTTGTGAATTTAGCAATTCTATTGTAATGGAGCTGAGGACAGATAAGTGTGCGGTCCTTCATGTTGAGACGAGAAAAGTTGCTAGCTCTGAGGGTATAGACTTATCTATGCCCGTCAAATTAAGGACCCTTTCCGAGGCTGAAACATACCGATACCTGAGTATGTCACAGAACGTGGGTATCGATGGGGCTGGTATGAAACAGTCAGTTTGCGGCGTGTTTTATGCATGCTTGACCAAAGTGCTTATCAGCCTTTTGTTCGGTGTGAATATGACACACGCATATAATGGTTGGCGCACGCATGTAACCTTTGGCATACTCAGGTGGACTCAGATTGAACTTAACGCCCTAGATAGAAAAGTCCGCACTACCATGACGTACTATAGGATGCATCATCCGAGATCGTCGGTAATGAGACTGTACTTGTCGCGAAATAATGATCGTGACTTTCTCAGCGCGTTCACCATGCAAAATCGCGAAGTGTGCTCCGTCAGTACTTCTAGGAAGTTCGGATGATCCACTCTATAATGACGTCATTTCTAGTGATAAAGGGCGTACCCCTCTATCCTTAGACAAAGAGCAATGGCAGGACCCAGCAGTACAAAGCATTTTCGACCTGGATACCGTATGGATGCAGAAAGAGCTCCACGGGAGATACTACAGGGCTTAACATGAGCCCTTCGTAGATACAGTCGCCTCCATCAACTGGCTACGTTTCGGTGACTTCTTCGGTCTCCTCTCTTTAAATGCAGAAGGCGGTACTCCACGATACCACCCTCGTTGTCCGCCGGTTTCTTTCCCTTTCTCCGCGACGGTTAGCCGTTTGGTCTACCCTACCTAGGACTTTCATCTGGCAGGACTTTTATTTATTTATGTATTTTTTGTATTTATTTTATTTTACTGATATTTATGTATATTTATCATTCTCTTTGACAATTATATATTTATGGAACCAAATCAGATGAGAAAACCATAAAGATAAACCAAAAATAATAATAAATCAATAACTTCCAAAAATAACAATAATGTTTTCATAATAAATTATAAATAAATAACGAAATAATGATTTATAAAAACCAAATTAATGGGATATAAATTAAATATTCAATATAATGTTGTGTTAGGAACACTAAAAAAAATCTTATCATTTTCTTCAAAAATATAACTGCAAAATAAAGTTGTCTATGTTATTTTCTCTTCTTTTCTCTTATAATGTAAACGAGGCATTTTATTTTAGTTCTCAGGGGATATAATGCATCTGCATTTTTATTCTTAATCGAGGATAGATATAGATATCTATGGGCCATTCACTTATAATCGGGTGAACTGTGTGACTGTTAGTCACCTTTATGTTATATAAGGTAAATCTAGATAACACCTGTTTTTCATAAAAATTGCCAAACAGATAATTTATTTAATTTAGTTAGCATATATAACATTTTAGTTCTGTCTTCATTTAAAAGCCGATTTAAAAGACTTTGACGAATTTCATTAAACTAGTAGCTTTTTATTATGCCATTTTCATAAATAATGAAATATGTATTAGCCAAGTTCAAAACTTTTCTCTTTGTAAATACTGCTAACATAATTTTATCAATAATAATTTTAGTACTTTGTAGTAAAATTCGGTAAGAGTGTTGCAAATTTAATGACTCTTGTACAATCACAAGAATAATATGCTTACTTACTCGCCTATAAATGTTTAATATAGCAAACTTGTATTTGACTTGTATGGTCTTCTTTCTGACTATTTATGTATACATTATAATTATATGATTGTTAAATATAATGTTTATTTTACAATATAATACAAACATCACAGTGTGAGATTATCTACTACATCATAACATCTCGTAAGAGTCACCTCAAAACGAAAGACGCGACAGAGAGAAACAAAATATGAGATTATAAGCAGCATCTTACTACACAAAACAAGAAACGAAAGTGCAATTGCAGAACGGCCAACCAAATGTGGCAACTATCGGGGAATACTATGATACAATCTAAGGGAGAGGCCTATGTAATTATTCAAAATTTATTCTAATCAAAACTAAATATTTACTCAGATGACGATATACTTAAATTTCAGAATGTTAAAATTTTAGAATGGGAAATAAATTTTGAAAACGATCTATTTAAAGAAACATCTACACCTGTTATTTCCAAGCATTCAAGAAGTCGCTCACGATCGGTGCGATATCCGTGCAAAATTGTTCGCAAAATTTGAATTGTTCCTTTGCAGTGAATACCAAGCATGATCGTGACAAATTGCCCGATTAACAATCCAAGTCTACAACGAAGGAGGTGGCGCGAATAACGATCCAATATATCAAAGGATTTTTCTCCTGTGCTGACGAGTCTTTAGAGCAATTAAGTGTTTATTGAGATATACTGTTACTAAATTTTAATGAAATTATTCTCCTATATTACAGTTATTTCCCAATATATCGAAAATTGAAACGCCATTTTAATATTTATTTACTAAGTACAAGTGCTGTCTTCTATGTAAGTCTCAAATCTCTGATATTTACTATACTGTTACAAATTTATGCATGTACATAATATATGTATGTATGTGTGTGTATATATGTTTATATATTTAATTATGAATTTATATTATATTAAGTATTTATGTTTGTTGGCTGGCCGTTCGGCAATTGCACTTTCGTTTCTTGGTTTGTGTAGTAAGATGCTGCTTATAATCTCATATTTTGTTTCTCTCTGTCACGTCTTTCGTTTTGAGGTGACTCTTACGAGATGTTATGATGTAGTGGATAATCTCACACTGTGATTTTTGTATTATATTGTAAAATAAACATTATATTTAACAATCATATAATTATATTGTATACATAAATAGTCAGAAAGAAGACCATACAAGTCAAATACAAGTTTGCTATATTAAACATTTATAGGCGAGTAAGTAAGCATATTATTCTTGTGATTGTACAAGAGTCATTAAATTTGCAACACTCTTACCGAATTTTACTACAAAGTACTAAAATTATTATTGATAAAATTATGTTAGCAGTATTTACAAAGAGAAAAGTTTTGAACTTGGCTAATACATATTTCATTATTTATGAAAATGGCATAATAAAAAGCTACTAGTTTAATGAAATTCGTCAAAGTCTTTTAAATCGGCTTTTAAATGAAGACAGAACTAAAATGTTATATATGCTAACTAAATTAAATAAATTATCTGTTTGGCAATTTTTATGAAAAACAGGTGTTATCTAGATTTACCTTATATAACATAAAGGTGACTAATATTCACAAAGTTCACCCGATTGTAAGTGAATGGCCCATAGATATCTATATCTATACTCGATTAAGAATAAAAATGCAGATGCATTATATCCCCTGAGAACTAAAATAAAATGCCTCGTTTACATTATAAGAGAAAAGAAGAGAAAATAACATAGACAATGTTATTTTGCAGTTATATTTTTGAAGAAAGTGATAAGATTTTTTTTAGTGTTCCTAACACAACATTATATAGAATATTTAATTTATATCCCATTAATTTGGTTTTTATAAATCATTATTTCGTTATTTATTTA